ATTACCCGCGGCGCGCGTCTGGGGCTGGCCGCAAGCGGATCGGCCCAGGTGTGCCAGGCCATGGTGATGAAATTAAGCGAAAAAAAAAAGATGGGCGAGCATGGTTTCGGAGTTTCACGTGTCACGAATGGACACAGAGGGAATGCGAATGAAATGTAAACAGAAGGGTGAAAAAAGAGGGGGAGAGGGAGGAGGGACTCTCTGTTCTTTGTTCTTACGTCGGAGACTTTTAAGTGATTCAATTTTAACGGGTGTCTCTGTTGGCTCAGACCCTTCCTACGGCTTTGCGGAAACATTCTTTCGGGGAAGGGTGGGTGTATTGTTAAAGGGGACTGGCTGAAATGTTTTTGGGATTGGGGGAGGGTGATAGGTATTTTGATAGGATAATTAGCAATACGAATATAGGAGGTGTTATTTGCAATAATTGGATGTTTTTATATGGATTTTGGAAGGTTTTTTTTTTGGATGATTATTTTCATTGATCATCTTTCTTAGTATTTTGAAAAATGTGGATTATGAGGATTCGTTGTGTTGTTGAAAAGAGTTTTGAAACGCTATTCTTTGAAAAATTATTTTTCAAGTGAGTTAATGGATTTTTTTCTTTTTCACTCATCTCTTTTAATACTTTAATAAAATATCACAGTATTCTGATGTTACTTCAAAATTAAACTATTCTATCTTAAAAATTTTGCAATCGATATTGACCGCCATATATTTCTCCCAAAGACAAATATTTAAATATTTGATTCTAAAAAAAATAGCACGAAACTTTTAAAAAACGTGGATTCTGCAAATTTGAATTATTTCAAACCGTTGCAATTTTTCCGCAATCGCCGATCCATTAAAATAAAAGTTTTAACAACCTAACACCGAATATCCTCTAAAACATCGACACGACCTCTCCAATTCCACTAAAAAAATCATCAGATTTTACAACTTTTACAACAATCCTTATTCATTTCAACATCGCGCTCGATTGAATCTAAAAAAAAGAAAAAAAAAAAAAAAGCCATCGATATTTCGACGCGTCAGCACATTCACCATCACTCCATCGCATCGTATCGAAATCATAGCGATAAAACTCGTATTACCTCTCTCCGGAACAGGTTCACGCAGGCCACCGCCTAAATGGATCTCGCTCATCTTCGAATACACGCCCGGAATTTGGGCGTTGCATTGTAAATTCAGCTGGCCGTTCGAGAAATGGAACGGTTGAAGATTCATCCTGATCTCGATCCACTGAAGATCCTCCTGATCTGAGTGGGCATCGTTACGATCCCACCTCTGTTGCGACTGCGGCTGGTGTCTCGTCTGCGATTCGACCTGCGAGAAATCAAACGTGAATTCAATCCGTGGAATTTCAACACGGAAGGAGAGTGGGAACGAGTCGAATTCAGTCGCGCGAGAGCACGTAACGGTGTACGGGATGGATGAAAAAGGGAAGAATAATATTGGAAAGAGAGGGATGGAGCCGAGGAAATGTAAATCTGCTTTTAACGAAATCCGTTCATCTGGAATCGAGAAGCGAACCTTTCGTTTCGCTTCGTCCAATCCCCCTTTCTCTTTCTCTCTTTCTCTTTCTCTCTCTCTATCTCTCTCGTGCTTCACCCCATAAGTACCGCATGCTGGTACCGGCCGTTAAGCACAAAGACGACTCCTTCCAGTTCGATGAAAAGTCGAAGGACTCGGCCGTTTCCGGCACGGTGTTCCTCCGATTAACGTTTTTTTCTTTCTTTTCTTTTCTTTTTTTTTTTCTTCTTCTTTTCTTTCCACCCTTCTCTCCTCGTCGCGAGAGAGCGTC